CATGCATGCATGCATGCATGCAGACTTGTACGCGTCGCTTTCTGGCGAGAGGCTGCCGACGCGGCGGACGTTTCGGGCATCTGCGCTCGTCTCCGGCTTCCGAAAATCGCGCGAGTATCAAGCACGCTGCTGGCGCGCCGAGCGGGCTTGGCAAGCAAGGGCTTGATTCGTGAGGACGATCATTCGTGATTCGTGATCATCGTTACGCGCTCGCCACGTCTGCTTTCATTCAGATGACAGTTGTTTCATTTGGTCACAGCACGTAGACACAAACAAGCGATTACGCGCGTGAGTGATGTTCGCTGTCAGCCAAGGGTATGACATTGGCTTCAAAGTATGTACAGGGAGATTCAAGTAGCGACCACATTGCCAGCAAGGATACGACGTCTAGGCGAAGAGAAAAATGGTAATGCGGTTGGCCTTCCAAAGAGCGATTGCAGCGAGGGTGGTAGGAGATGGACGGGAGTACGTCCAATGCAAGTGACGGAATTGGATTTGATGCTGGCCACAGTGTCCTCGATGTTGCGAAAGGTAGAAAGTAGTCGCGACTGAGACTACAAGTAAAGACAGGAAGCGGTTCCAGCTGCCAAGGCAATGCTCAGGAGGGTAATAGGGTGCTTCAGGAGGGTACTCATTGCGCCTGACTGTTGATCGTCCTCAGAGACAGCGTCGGTAGAGCGTGCGCTGTCAGCAGAAGTGGACGAGGACGGAACGCTCTTTTTGATGGCGGGCTTCTGCACCCAATGTTTGGGTCTCCACCCGGTAGGCAAATTATCGACGTCAAACAGAGCGGCACGTCCCACGTCGCTCTCAAAGACTTTCTCTGCATCGTGGTCTGCGTCTTCGACCACAACAAGCTTGGTGCCGATGATGCCTTGGCTCAAATTTGACCAGTCCGGCAAGTTGCTGAAGTTGCCAGGGAAGCCCGTCAGATCCTCATTGGTGCGAGCCAAGGTGTTGATGTACTGCCACCAGGCCAAATTGCGGTCCCGACGGGCGACACCTCCCTGCAGCAAAGCCATGCAGTATTGATCACCGCCTGCTGTGGTGTCCTGATACCCAACGATGGATACGACATCTCGCGAGATATACTGTTGGAAGTATTCCTCGGGCTTCTTGAGACCATCGGCAGTGCCGGTGAAGTTGTCAAATCCATAGCGCCACGTGTTGTAAAGAGGGCAGTCAGTGATGTTGGCCACGCTTTCGTCGGTGAGCGGCCGATCCTTGGTGAAGTAGACACCACTGGAGGGATCACCGTGGATGTAGCGAATGTGGATGTTCGACGGCTGATCCTTGGCGATGGTCGCGTAGCGCTGTCCGAGTTGTCCTCCCCCACCGTGGCCAACGACCGTGACGTTGGTGAGGGCTGGGTACGTGTCCTGATCTGCAAGCGAATCAATGATGGCGTCGAGTGCGTCGATAGACGTCAGCTGGGTGCCGTCTGGGTGACTCGCCGGATCACCAGCTTGCCAGGCATTGACGTCAGGCCAAGCGAGTTCATTTTTGCTGTATTGCTTTTCGTTAAATTTGGTCGAGTAGAACTGGGGTGCGATGATGATGGCATTCTCGTCCACTCCTTTGTAATCGGCGTCGATGGCGCTCTGCAGCACGTTGTTCATCGTCGTCCAGTATTCGCCGCCGTTTCGGAGCTTGCCATGGATCATGATGAAGGCGTGCGTAGCCTTGTCATTTTCGGCCTTGTCACTGATGTACGTCGCAATCTGTTCACCGTCTGAACCAACATCGATGCTGGTCAGGCGCGCCCCCTTGGGTACGCTGTCTTGAGGATCTGAGTGATCCTGCGTTCAAAAATTGAGGCGCAAGTAGTCAGCGGCGCGAACCGATGAGAGTGTGAACACGACGACGACGCAATTCCAGATCTAACACAGCGGCTCAAGAGTATGCAGCGAAGGGAAGCCATGCAGTACCGCGCAACTCCCGCGTCTTCGGGACGGCATAGTGCCTTGGACGCCCAAACTCCGCTGCCGGACCATGGAATCTGGTGCGCGACCTCGCTGAACTGCGGAGGCCGATTATCGAGCGACCGTGGCATTTCCTGACCTCTCTAGGCCTATATAGGGGTGGTGGTGATACGTCTCAATGCCTCTCGACTCCACCGGCCGCACGAAGCTTATGCGCGAGCGACAGCAGGAAGAGGAGCGTTGAGCCAACCATCGGGTACCCTTGATGCAAATCGAGAAGCAGCAAGCCTCGGAAGAAGTGTACGCTGTCGCTACTAGTAGACTGGCGGTGGCTCGAGGAAAGAAAGCAGTGGGCCGACCGAGTGTGATACACAGCACCGATCACCTCTTCCATCCGCCGATAACACGACACTGTCGCTCAGCAAACCGAGGTGGGCTCGGACGTCGCGCGACGCCTGTACCAAGAGCACAAAGAGAAACCAGTCATGGCGATGGCTTGGTCGGAAATGCCACGCTACTCCAGGGAACCCAGAAGGCGTGCTCGTTCCTCCCTCGCATCCCACTCATGCAACTTTGGCGTCCCTAGCTGAAAAGCGTCTGTCGCATCTGCGCCTGGCGAGCACGTTGCGCTACCATCGAATAATCCCCTTCGACCCGCGGAAACTCACCTCGCCTTCGTTGTTCTCTGGCAGCGTCGATGCCATGTAAGTGGACGCATCACGTTTGGCAAAAGGGTGCTCCGATGCCGGGAGAGCGCCACCGAGAGAGCGCTTTGCGTGGGAATCTGTCCGACGCTGACGAACATCAAAGCGATGGCTGTTCGCACTTGTTGAGCCGATAGCCGTGGAGATGCAGAGCGCGAGAAAAACGACGGTGAGGGCTGCAGCAGACCTCATTCTGGTAGTGATGTTTGCCGAAACGTCGGATTGCTACTTTTGGCTCAGTTGATTGGGAGTACGGAGTGCTTGGCAAGGTATGAGCGATGTTTGAGCGGCTCAGCAGGTGCGGCAATCGAAACGATGCCGCAAGAGCGCCGAAGAGAGCGAGCTCAAGAGTAAGGAAGACGTTGCCGGAAGTCGAGGACGTCAATTGAAGAAACGTTGATCGCCGAAGTGGACTGCTGAAGGGATAAAGTCGAGATCGGATCAACCCTCAGAAGCAAATTCAAAGCTGGAAAAGGTGTCAAGGGGTGTTGTTGGCTTCGCGTTGCGGTAGTATCGAGTCTAGAGTTCAGAGTCAGAAGAGAGTATGTGGGGAAGCGGATGCTGATGTGGATGACGCTGTGCAGCGTAGGCAGGCAGAAAAGCGGCGTCAAAGGTGAAGGGATCTGATGCCAGTTCAGACCTCAAGGCAAAATTGTGCGGTCAAGTGAGTGTGATGTGTGCGGATGCCGTGAGAGAAGCAAGCGGGCAAAGGTAAGCAGTCAGTTCGACGTAGGGTAGGAGGATCGAGGGGGCACACGACAAACGAAGCGCTGTTGGCTATAGGAGCACCTGCACCGATAGCAACCGCATCTCGCGAATGATCGGTACCACATC